AATCCAGCTTGAGCATCTGGCAATTCTCTGTCTATATATTGTTCTATCCATTTTTGAATGATCTTCAGCAGTAGGTTTTTCTATGTGATATCAATGATATTGTTCAATAATTTCCACATTCTGTTTGGATCACTTTTCTTGGGAATGGAAAAAAAAATATGGATCTCTTTCAGATCCATATTATCCAAAATATAGATCTCTTTCCATCCTGTCCCCACCAACTTTTCACTACATAGAAACTCAATTCTTTGACTTTCACAACGCCTTGCTCAAAGCTTCTGGGCACGAGCATTTTCCACCCTGTCTCTCTATTTTTCATTGGTTTTCATACAATAATTCATTTACATTGTGTTTCGTTCACATACATTTTATTCCGTACATTCCTCATTCACGTTGTTTCATACAATTACTCATTCACATTCTATCCCATATAATTATCATTGATCTATACCTACTATTACACCATCTTTTCAAGTCCTAATTGACTCTTTCCCATTCTCTCTCATACCTTCCCTGCAGTCTACCCACTAAACTCTGCTATCCTGCTGATTTCCATCCTTCTGCTTTTTCCATGCCATTCCCCTTTTCACTTTCCCCTTGTGGACATTTATACACATCTTACTAGTTATCCTTTTTTTACAATATTTGTCTTATCCAGTATTTGTCCTTATGAGACTAAGTTCCCTCAGCATAATGTTCTCTAGACTCTTCAATGTCATATAGTATTTTACAATATCATTTCTCTTTAGTGCTGCATAGTATTCCACTGTGTGAATTTACCATGATTTCTCAGTCCTTTTGATTATTGATAGTTATTTGAACTGTTTCCCTATTGTTGCTATTGTGAGTAACTGCTGCTATAAGCATAGGTATTCATGTTTCAGTTGTAGTTTCTTTGGGACACATTCCTAGAAGTGCAATAATTGGGTCATATGGGATTTCTATGTTGAGTTTTTTGAGGACATGTCAAACTGCCTTTCAGAATGATGTCTCTTATAAAGGAGATTAGTTCTTAAAAGTCACCCACTATGCATTCGCTTATTGCCATGGAGTTGCACCAAGTCATAGGTGGCCCTGCAGGGGTTTTTAGAAGCTGTAAATTTCACGGGCGACTCGACGGCACATAACAACAACAACAACAAATTTCACAGGAGAGTATCCATCTTTTTCCTGCAGATTTGCTAGTAGAGTCAAACCACAAAGAGGTGTGGCTTTTGAGTTAGCAGTGCAGCTCTTTATGAACTAAGATACCAGAGCTCTCTAAAACTAGATAATGAAATTCAGTCATTTGGGTGTCAGAAAAGGGAAGATGATTTTAAAACCCTGACATTTAGCAGTTGTTATGTTGTTATGTGCTGTTAATTCAGAGCTGACTCATAGCTGACCCTCTAGCAGGTTTTCAGAGGCTGTGAGGAATTTGCCCATCTTTCTACCCTAAAGCAGATGGTGAATTCAAACTGTTTACTGTTGGGTTGACAGTGCATCTCCTTAACACTAGGCCACTAGAGCTCCGACCAGCATCTGGCTACTAGGTTGAAACACTGTCCTTAGCACTTGCTAGCTGTGTAGCCTTGATTTCACTGTACCTTAATTTAGTCATTTGTAAAATGTGGATAATCACAATGCTTACCCCATAAGTATTAAATGACTATTTAAATGAACAAGCACTTAGCCAGGGCGCATGTAAGGCATAAAGAAATGAAAGAGCTGCTATCCAGTCAGTTCTAACTCATGGTGACCCCAGCGGAGAACAGCACTCTTAGGCTTTCAACTGTAGAAGACCAAGTTCTGTTTCTCAAGTACCTTTGGGGAGATTTGAACCACCAACATTTCATCTGAAGCTGAGGACTTAACTCCTGTGCTACAGAGAGATTCTTGCCACATAATTGTCAGCTGTATTTTTTTATTTATAGAATTATTATAAAAAATAATATTTACTAGTATTAAAAATTTGGACAGGTTTAATTATGATCATTTATTTAACCATCAGAAAGAAAAGAAGCAAGTTAGTTTTTGCTCAGCACCATCTATGTTCCCGAAACTGCCAGCTCTGTGTTGTCCTATCTTCCTCACACTGGAATACAATCACTGTAGGGTATGATTGCTGACTTCTATAAAAGCAAATTTGGGCCTCTGGTTAATTGAACTTTGGGTAATTACTAAAACTGGTTGCATATGTATCCTGTGCATTCTGTTTTACAGCAAGTTGCCAAAGAACTAGGAATGCAGTATATTATCTTTTCTTTTTCTTTTATTTTTTAACTTTGGTACCAGCAGCCAGGAAATCAAGAGACAAATTGCATTGGAAAAGTCAGCTGTCAGGGACCTCTCCAGAGTACTGAAGAGCAATGATGTCAGGCTGGAGACTAAGGTGCACCTGATCCAGGCCATAATCTTCACAATTGTGTGCTATGTGCCAGAGAGCTGAACAATGACTAGGGATGATAGAAAGATAATTGATGCCATTGAGCTGTGGTGCTAAAGAAGAGTATTGAATATACCATGGACTGCTAGGAGAACAAACAAGTTTATCCTGGAGATGGTGAAGTCAGGCTGCTCCTCAGAGTCAAGTATTTGGAAGCTTTGTCTGACATACTTTGGGCATGTTGCAAAGAGGGACCAGTCCTTGAAGAGGGACATCATGTTTGGGAGAGTGGAGGGACAGAGCAGGAGAGGAAGACCATTAATGAGATGAATCAATTCAGTGATTGGAGTAGTGGGAATAGGTGTGTCAAAGACAGTGAGGTTGAGCAGGGTTTAGGGCTCTTGTACATAGGGTCCCTATGAGTTGCAAACTACTCGACGGCACATTACAAGAACAACAACAATCATATGTGAATTTTTTTTAAATTTTATACTGACTTATTTACAAAGTTTGAGTACATTATTTTTCACAAGAAATCCTTCCCATTTCCTTCACCCCCACCCATTTCATTGTGTAATCCTATGATTAACACCACCACCCCACCATCCCAACCCCTTCCCAACCTCATCCCTCTGCTTTCACCCTACCTCCTCTTGGATTCTTATAGCCATTCTACAACAGTGGTTTTATACAGTATTTGCCCTTGTGGGACTGAGTTAGTTCACTCATCATAATGCTCTCCAGTCCCTTCCAAGTTAGGTAGTCATTTATAAAATCATTGTTCCTGTATATGCTGCATAGCATTCCATAGTATGAATGTACTGCAACCTACCAACTGGGAACGAACCTTTGGCAATACCATCTCAGACAAAAGCCTCATAACGAAAGTTTATACAATACTCCTGGGTATCCACAAGAAAAAGACTAATAACCCAATTACAAAATGGGCAAAAGACATGGAAAGAATTTTCACAGACGAAGATATTCAAATGGCCACCAGACATGTGAAGAAATGCTCCAAATCCCTAGCAATAAGAGAGATGCAAATCAAAACCACAGTGAGGTACCATCTCACTCCAGTAAGAGTGGCAAAGTTTAACATGATGGAAAGTAATAAAAGGAGAGGATGTGGTGAAATAGGAATTCTTATAGATTGTTGGTGGGATTATAAAATGATACAACCACTCGGGAAAGCAGTTTGGCGCTTCCTCAAAAAGCTGAACATAGAAATTCCATATGGCTGAGCTATTCCACTGCTTGGAATATACCCCGAGAAAATGAGAACTGAGGCTCAGACAGAAAGTTGTATACCAATGTTCATAGAAGCATTATTCATCATCGCAAGAACATGGAAACAACCCAAATGTATCTGGAATTTCTCATTGTACTCCAAGCAGCTAGAAACAATTACTCAATATAGTGTGGCTTTGTTGTTCAAATTATACCATAAAAAGCAGGGCATGTCTTCCAGTTGGAGAACTATAGTTCTCATAGTTGCTGCTATTTGTGCATAGTGTGTTGGGCTCCAGTTATTGCTATATTTTCAAAGTGAGTCTTGAGCAGTGCAAGTCATGATTTCCACAAGATGTTCCATAGGCAGGTAAGACCCAAAAATCCTTGGGACACTTTCCCAACAGTGGCTCCAGAACAGTCTTCTGGGGTTGTATAAAAATTTTTCCTGTGACAATTCTGCAAGGATGCTTTATCCCAAAGGACCATATGATGAATGTGAGTTCTCATGCTGTTGTAAATTTGTTTCCTTACTTCTCGGGCACAGATAGCCTGGGTTTCAGAGTTTTTCCTGGTTATAATCTAAGAGTTCTTTTACTTCTTGTTTACTAAAATGAAACAATTTTTCTGCGACAGTCTCTACAGAATTTTAATCTGTATGTGGTTTGAGGGAATGGAAGAAAGCACTGACCAACTCATAGAAGCAAATCAGAATTTCTCAGGTTGAAGAGTTGTTGCCATTTGCTATGGAAAAGGAACTTGGTTCTCACATTGAGCTTTTACAGTTTGTACCTGGCTCCTGCAGATTGCATGGGTTTGCGCTGCTCCCAGGGGTTTTGCAGGGTTTATACATCTCACAGTGATGAGTGCTCAACTCCATAAATACCACTGGTCCTTAAACCACATGGGCTTGTCATGAAGTTGCTTCCTAATGCAACTCACCACAAGGAATTCTACAAACAACAGTTAGCTTTTGCAGCATCCAGAATGTAGCACGATCTAGAGCATAATATAAAGTATCTGACAAAATTTTGCTTCACTGGATCCTAAACACAATGGAACACACTTTTTTTTACAGTTTAAGTGAAAAGACTCAACAGTCTTTATCAACGGTCACGTTCATTGCCTGATTTTTTAAATACCTTCTGCAATTCACTACTTCATGGTTTGAAACGACCACTTTACATCTCTTCTTAAATAATGAAGTAATAGAATGTGCCCAGTCCTTCAAATTATTTCTAAAAAGAAATTTCTCTGAAATAAGAAGCAATCATTTGATTTTAGTATTTACAAAATTTAGTAACTGTGAATAAGGGAAGCAGGTAAAGACCTAGGACTACTGCAAAATCACAAATAAGATAAAGATGTTTTGCTAATCATGTGTTCACTTCCTTTTGTTCTCTAGGATCTCTCCTGGTTTGATGAGAAGGAAAACAACACAGGAGCCTTGACAACAAGATTAGCTGTAGATATAGCACAAATTCAAGGAGTATGTATTTTTTTTCTTAATTTTAAATAGTGTGTGCATGTGATGTGTATGCAAGCATGTATGCAGTATGTTTGTACATATATGGGAGCTATTCCCAAATGACACACATCAGATTAAGATTGGCACATTCAGCAGACCAGGTAAGGCTCATGGCTAGTGGGAAATTGTCAGTGAAAGACAAAGAGAAGCCTTTCCGTTTTGCATCTTTATAGCCAGAAACAAGAGAATGTTTGGCACATGAGATATATGATAACAAAAGGACTGAAGAAGATGACAAAAATGAGATGCAGAAAGGAACTTGGGGCTCAATAGTGAGATAAGAAAAGGAAAATATGCAAACCTAATTTTGAAGTCTCAACAACAGGATAAAGCTGGTTGCTGGCAAAGTGGATTTAACTCTTAGAGTCCCCACATGAATCAGAGTAACTGTGCCCATAAGATTTACAATGGCCGATTTTTGGATCTTTTTTCCAAGTACCTTTGGGTAGAAATGAACATCCACTCCTTCAGTAAGCAGCTAAGCAGATTACCCATCTGCATCACCCAAAAAACTCCCTTCCTGTAGAAAACAAGATCTTATTTAAAATAATGCTTAACAATGTCAATTTGTATGTACACATGGAAAGAATTCTGCACCAAGCTAAGCAGCTGTGCGTAGTCCTGACTCATTCCATTATGTTGATCTGCATAGCCTCCAAAATCAGTTACAGAACGACCACAAAGTGAATGGCAAAGTCATGCATAAAAAGTAATTATTAACTTTCTTCCAACTCTTTTAATAAAATCTTTATTTAAGAACCGAGGTTTTACTTGAAGCAAGGGGTACAATAGCAAGGCTAGCAAATGTCTGCTTTCTTATTTTTAATTTAAATAAGACAAAGTCTTCAATCCTTTTATAAATATCAGAAATCCAGCAGTTATGCCTTTTCAATGTCCCTTTCTTGCATGTGGGAGAAATAGAAAAGTGTCAATGAGGTTCCTCTCAATAATAAATGTTGTATAGAAGCATTTAGTTTATTTCAGAATCTCTGAGAAGTTGATTACAAAATTATGACCAGAACAGCAAATTATTAAATAGTGTTTAAAGATGGATTGACACAGTGACTTCAGCAGAGATGGTGAGGATGGCACAGGATAAGGCAGGTTTCAAGTCAGCTGTTCCTGGGGATGGTGCAAGTCTTACTCAACTCAATGGCAGCTAACAACAGAGCAACATTAGAATTGCATGGGTTTTTTTTACTTGCATTTTTTTCTTTACTTGATTTAAAACCATATTAAAGGGGTATTATTATTATTATTATTAGTGTCAATGAACATCTACAGACATTTTGGAATTTCATTCATTCGTTGCACTTTTCTCCCCGCCCTCCCCCTCGTTGCACTTTTCTCCCCGCCCTCCCCCACCCCCATCCCCAGTTCGCTCCTCTCCTTGAAAAGCAAAAGAAAAGCTCCTTCATTGGTACACAATCCC